TTACTTCACCAGCTTAAACGAAAAAGGGTGATACCTCTTTTCTATTCAATTCCTTATGGAAATCTTAGACGTCAGTGCTTGTTTCATTTTATTATTCAATTCATACATTCGATAATGATGAAGTCTTTATACATCACCATTTTTCCAAACCCATTAAAGCAGCTACAAAAGGTGGAATATACATCGATTTGCTGTACGCTGGCAACCTCGTTCGTCTTGTACTGCCTGGCTTTGCTTCAGGATACTTTGGGCAACTCGACCAAATCCTCCTCCTATTCACCCTTGTCTTCTCTCAGCTTGCAAATCGCCGATTAGACGCAAGACAGCTGTTCCTGTTTGAGCCCACAACCCACTCCTTCAGGCCACTAGAAGATCCTAGGTAGGCTGTATTTGCCTCTACTCGATCTGTTCGGCTGTTTAAACCCCCAACGCATCCCACCCAACCACATGCACTAACTCATCCTCCCAACGCCAAAAAGTATTTCGGAAATCAACCCTCCAAAGGGTGCATACCACATGCCAAGAAGCCTTGGCAATAAATATTGTATAATGTGACTTTACTTTCAATTTCGAAGGATCGAAGGGTTGAAAGGAATTCGTGTAGTGGCCTCGCCGGAAAACGAAGCAGGATTGCCGCGGAGTAAAGACTGTCGGATTGTGAGAAGATGTTCTCAGCTCGGCGTCTGTACCGCCGTGACAGACTAGCTGAGAACAAGAATCTTTACTTGACGAAATAGCGCAGCAAAATACTAAACCCTAGCAACTGTTTCATACCCATGCTTGCGATCGTAATGGAGCATCGCATGATTTGGTTGGCTCTACGTTCTTGCAGATGAGTGAAGTTGAGTCATGAATGGGAAGTTGATTCAGTGTCAGCTCTTTCCTTACACAAATAAAGAAACGAGCGTACAATCCTCTAATGAGGATTCATGTCTGTGTGTGTTTTTGCCTAGTGTCTGTATGTAATGTTAGGGCAAGATAAGAATGAAAAATGGAAATCTGCTTTTTCCGTTGTCTGATCACCAATTAACTTTATAAAGTTCTGGGAATTCCTTGTCAAAATCTTCCCATTTCCGGAGATTGGCATTAACTGAGTGGAAATAACCTATCACGCTACCTCTATTATTTACTTTATTCTTATTTAGGACAAGATAAATATAATAAATTTAATATGGAATTAGAAACGGATGAATAAATTGCCTTCTTTGGATCTATTAGTGAGCAAATAAGGCAATAAGTTGGACTATGACGTATCTATGAAACCTACTCATACAGACATCCTTATTACCTTCTTATCCAAACATACAAATAGGACTAAAGTAGGAATTATGAAATCAATGCTAATAAGGAGTCTGAATCTAGCAGATATAAACCACGGTGATCATGAGATCCGTAGAGTGGTGGCATATATTGTATCACAACATTTGCCCATTAGGATTGGTAGATAGTTGCATGCGGGTTCCGAATAATCTCCTGAGATAAG